GGCCCTGGGCACTACCACAGACCACCTCACCTCAGTTCTGCCAGCCTGGTAGTTCCATTAGTTTGGCCTTTTTATAGAATGTTCACAACCAGCCCGGGGAAAACATCCCTGGGGTACTGGCCTTCAAAAACTGTATATCTTTTGAGCCAACGCTCATTTGATAGTGTTATATTCCATAAAGCTAGAAGTCACGGGAGCCAGGTATGGAAGTAACAATACAGGCCTCCCCATCAGTCTCACTGGTCCACTTGGGGAGTTTGTGATTCCTGTCCCTAAGCATTTAGGCTTTGCAGGGTTAGAGCTCCTAGGGTGGGGATGCATCTAGCTGGGGTCCCATTAAGGGGCCCACTAAGCCTGAAACTACTGCAGCCAGGGCCTCGTTTTGAGCACCTCATGGCCAAAGAAAAGAATTATAGTGGCAAAGACACTTATCTCAGTGACCCCACATCCATATGAACAGTTACAGTGCTTGGGCCTGTCAAAGTTAGGGTATCAACTAGCTGAGGCTTTGTGGGATGAAGTTCTGGGCTTTCCATGGAGAAAGATGACAGCAGACAGAATAACGGCAGAGAACGGGTCTGTGCAGCACTTCCCACAGCCTGGGGCCAACTACAGCAAAAGTCCTGAGGGTTTACTCACCAGCCCTCTTATTAAGCTTTCTAAAGAACTAGAAATTGTAATTGATCAACAGCTTGAAGAGCTGTTGTGCTTCACATGGGGTCCAGACACCTGAGCATCGCTGAGGAGGCCTGTGACTACAACCTGCTTTCTTCAGCATTCACCCCTACAAGGGGACCTCTGTCATCCTCCATGGCTCTGCCTGAGGGCTGTCTGTCCAGTGGTGGGAGGTCAGGACTAGCCGGGTAGGCTGGAGGGCTAGTGTTCCCGGAAGCAGCCCTCAGCCTTCAGCAGAGCGGGCCTCAGTGCCGCTCCTCTGAGTCAGCCTCTGTACTGTCTTAGAGACTTGCCCCGTGTGCCTGAGCCCCTGGAGCTCCACCTGCGGTTACACACCTCTCACTGACTCTTCCCTTTCCTGTCTTGCTTCTCTCCTCTAGTGGTGCCTTTTAGCTGACCTCTCAAATGCATTACTGTTCCCAATTTCTTTTTCCACAGAAGAACTGGGGTACAGGCCAGAGGTGAGGGGGGTGAGAGGATTCACCAAAGACAGAGTGGAGAACAGAACAGCAGATCTACTGAAATACACTGCCGAGGGGAGCTGTTGGCGAGACAGGAGAGGTCTGCTGCACCGTGTGGGTCAGCTCCCCGGCCAGCATCAAACTCAGGCCATAGCAGTGATAGTGCTAAGACTTAACCTCTAGGCCACCACAAATTCTTGACTCAGCAACCACATTTAGGAAACCCCATTTTCTTGGTCTATTTGAGCTGCTGTAACAAGTTACCACAACTTAGACAATGGTCATTTATTTCTCACAAAACCAGTGTCTGGTGAGGACCTATCTACCTGTTACTTTACCGTGCTGTCTTCTCACATGTTCTCAGTGGTGGCGAGCAGAGAACTCAGGGAACCTCTTCCCCATCTCTTCTTATAGGGCACTAATTCCATTAGGAATGACCTCTTATGACCTGGTTACCTTCCAAAGATCAGCTCCAAAACCATGGAGATTAGAGTTTATCATAATATGACGTTCATAGCACCTACTTGAGACAACTAAAAAAGAATAAAATATTAAACTTGCTTTTCCTAAATCAGCTATCAGTCAATTTAACAGTATATCTGGTGAGGGAAATATTTCTTTATAGATGACTCATAAATAATAAAAGGAGGAGTGCCCTCCCTGGCAGTACAGCGGGTTTAAGCACAGCACTATGAAGCTATCGCAGCTACTGCAGCACGAGTTCAATCCCTGGCAGCGGGTGAACCCACATGGTGCAGCAGACCTCTCCTGACTTGCCCACTGCTCCCCTCAGCAGTATATTTTAGTACATCTGCCTGATCTGCTCCCCACTCTGGTGAATTCTCTCACCCCCTACACTTCTGGCCTGTACCCCAGTTCTGTATGCATAAATAAATAACTCTTTAAAAAAATAGGTCTCTCCCTGGTGGTGCAACTGGTCAAAGCATCTCATTATGAAGCTTTCCAAAGCCACTGCAACATGAGTTTGAGCCTCGGCCCTGGAGCTGACCCACATGGCACAGCAGACCTCTCCTGACCCACTTACTGCTCCCCCCAGCAGTGTACTTCGTCAATCTGCCTGTTCTGCTCCCCACTCTGTCTCTGGTGAATCCTCTCACCGCCCCTGCACCTCCGGCCTATACTCCAGCTCTACAAGCATACATAAATAAATCTTTTTAAAAATACCTTAAAAAATAATAATATAGGGCCCTCCCTGGTTGCGCAGCGGGTTAAAGCACAGCACTGAGAAGCTAAAGCCACTTCCGCATGAGTTCAATTCCTGCCTGCCCCGGAGGAGATCCACATAGCACGGCAGACCTCTCCTGACCCGCCCGCTGCTCCCCTCAGCAGTGTACTTCGTCTATCTGCCTGTTCTGCTCCCCACTCTGTCCCTGGTGAATCCTCTCACCCTCCGCATCTCTGGCCTGTACCCCAGTTCTGTATGAATAAATAAATAAATCTTCAGAAAAAAAATAATTATAGAGGAAGGTGACAAAATAATAATAAAAAAAAAAACTCCCGTGTACTCCTCTTTATGTAACAGTTCTAGATGATGACCATTAATAGCCATTAGGTGAACACTGATGGCTGTAGTCCAGTGAATGGTGACCTAAAACATTCATGTCCACATACCAATCCCCGAAATCAAATGAATGTTGGCTTTTGTAGGAAAATAGTCTCTGCAGATATAATTCACTCCACAAATTCATTCCCTAACTTCATAAGGATATTGAGATGAGATGGTCCTAGATTCTCCTGGTAGGATAAACCCAATGACAAGCGTCCTCATGACAGTCAGAACAACCAAGTAAAATTTGGCATGGAGAGTCTCCCTGGTGGTGCAGGGGTTAAAGTATTAGCTCTATCAAGCTATCAATAGCCACTATGGTATGAGTTTGATCCCTGACTAGGGTGCACATGGTGCAATAGACTTCTCCTGTCTCGCCTGCTGCTCCCCTCAGCAGTGTATTTCAGTCAATCTGCCTGCTCTGCTCCCCACTCTGTCTCTGAATCCTCTCATGCCCCCACACCTCTTGTCTACACCCCAGTTTTTCTATGCAAATAAGTAAAATACTTGAGCAAACATAAGAAAGGGAATTTGTCAAACAAGAGGGGCAGAATTTTTTTCCCCCACAGAGTGACTAGGCAGAGTGGTGTGTGTGTGTGTGTGTGTGTGTGTGTGTGTGTGTGAGTGAAGCACACACACATGCTGGGGCTCTGGGAGGCCGCTCTGGAAAGAGTTGGGAGACAGTTTCTAGTCGCCAGTCGGCTGGGTGGGCCAGGTGCTGGCTTTAGAAGCCCGTGCTGGAGTCGAGCTTTCTCTAGCAGATGCCTGGGCAACCCGGAGCATAAAGGGGCAGAATTTTTAAATGGTCAAGTTGGTTGAGGAAGGGCTTTATAATGAATGCCATTCCCTCTACTTTCCTATGTCTGACATAACTCCATAATTTAAAAAAAATGACAGTAATAGCAACATGAAGTGTAATTTTAAGAGTTAGTGGCTTTTACAGCATGAATACAGAATCCAGAGGGGATGGAAAGCCCCTCCACCCATAAGCGTCTCTCACGTGGTCTCTTGACGGAGGCTGATGGCATCATACTGAAGTGTCATCTTCCTGCAAACTGAGCTGCCTGGCCCATGGTCTCAGTTTTCTAGGGCTCTGGTTCCATAATTGGCTAGAACCAATTAGAAAACCCAGAAGAGAGCGTGTGGCGGGGGACATGGGTGACTACAGAAAACGCCCCGAACCTGGACTGCCCTTCTTGGTGCTGGTGGCGGAGGTGTGTCTGGGGCCAGCAGCTCATCAAACACGCAGAGCACAGGAGGGTTGCGCTTCCCTGCCCTGCTGGGGAGTGGAACCACGCCCTTACTTCTGGGGAACGCACTGTGAAGAGAAGGGACAGGAGTCTCTTCTGGACCACCGCTATTATTCACCCGCTGAGGACCCTCCAGAGTGCATATTGCGCCCCCTTCTGGCTGGTAACTGAGCACATGTGAGATCGTGGCAGTTCTATGAGTAGAAAGACCCAATCATAGGCATGTAGGTGGCAGGAGAAATAAATTGTTTTTGTTTTACGCCAGTGAGTCTTGGGGTTTGCTTGTTATCACAGCATGATTAATTTATTGTGACTAAAACAGTGTCATACCACAAGCAATGGAACAGGCTACTCAGTAAGAACCTGAGTACTGTTCTGCTATGAGGGTTTCAATCACTTTGCACTAAACTGAGAAGCCAGAAGTGATCATCCCAGACCCAGATTTAAAAAAAAAATTGTTGTTTGGGATTGGTTGCGGTTCTTGCCTTTGTTTTGCGGTTTTTTGAGGTTGTTGTTCTTTTAGTTTTTTTCTGGCCCTTTCACAAAGTTCTCTTAAGCAGTTTTAACAAGAACCCTCTTGGAAAGCAATTTTACAACCTGTATCATGGGCTATTAGGAAGTTCTTTGCTGTGGTCATTACTAATCTCGAAGTGACTTTCCTTAGTTAATTTATCCTGACAAAAACAGTGTCATTCCACAAGCAATCAAACAGCCTACTCAGTAAGAATAATTACTTGGTAATTAACTAGTTTCCATAGTTAGATGGCATGAATAAAAAGATGTATAGCACATAACATGAAACTGAATGCACAGGCCCGGTGGCGCAGGGGGTTAAAGCACAGCGGGTTAAAGCACAGCACTAAGAAGCTTAAGCCACTTCCGCATGAGTTCGATCCCGCCTGCCCTGGAGGTGACCACATGGCGTGGCAGACCTCTCCTGACCCGCCCACTGCTCCCCTCAGCAGTGTACTTCGACGATCTGTCTGTTCTGCTCCCCACTCCGTCTCTGGTGAATCCTCTCACCCTCCACATCTCTGGTCTGTACCCCAGTTCTGTATGAATAAATAAATAAGTCTTAAAAAAAAAAAAAACTGAATGCACAACCTCATCAACTCTCCCATGACCTTGTTAGTTTTAAGGGCAGCAGCCTCCTGCTTGGGCATCGTCAAAAACGGTATCACTTGCCAGTGCTCCTGAAACACGTCGGGGAGACTGGCAGGACACAAACGCATTTTGAAGTACGTTTAGGTCTGTCTTATATTTCTTCTGTGGTGGCCCGAGGGTAGGCCTGGGGATTTGGAGCGCGGCTGGCGGATTTGCGCTAGAGTAATCTTAGGCGAGTGTGTGGCGCCCTCGCGCGGTGTGTGGCCCAACAACATCTCGGGCTCTGGCGAGTCCGCTGGGTCTGGCAGTCCACCGGTCTCCAAAAAGTTCTCCTTTGGCGCCATTTCCTCGCAATTCCCAAGCTGTTTCAGGCTTATCACTCAGCTGCAGTAGCCCCTCTTACCCTGTCTTTCTAGCGCGCGGTTGCAGCTGAGTCCAAGGTCATCCTCGTTCACTCCCCAAGCCTGGCCATGCTTGCAGCTTCACCCAAACAAAACCTCCAAATTATTTTATTGCTGAGCACAAGTCAAGTAATGCCACCTGGGCACTCCTCCCGCCCCCAGCAGTGGCTGCGTGGCCGACTGGAGGCTCACGAACAGCCACACGGCTTCGGCCGCTGGCAGGAGGGTGGTATCTGCACCCTGCCCCCAGGGGCGCCACCTCCCCTTCCCGAAGCCCGGCCTGCTGGGAACGGCGGCCGGTCACCCTAGGCAGGAAGGTGCGTCAGGAGGGGCTGCCGGGAGACCCCCTCCACGACTCCCAAATTTTGTGGCGCGCACTGCAGGGATGCGGTAAGCCCCTATTCTGAGTAGCAGTAGGTCCCGTAGGCGGCCTGCTGGGGCCGGGGGAACCCGAAGCTACGCACTCCGGGGTCTGGGAGGCCCCCGCAGCGCGGCCTCGGCGTGGTGATAGGGAAGCGCACGCTGCCGTCCGCTAGCCAGCCGCCGTCGCACTGGTCCAGCCCCGAGAACTTCCAGGCCGCATAGAGGTGCCCGACCTTGGCCACCGTGGCTCCTCGCCGCCGGCACGCTGCGTGCGCTTCAGACAGAGTCAGCTGCCCGGGCACGAAGAACACTTGACCTGGGGACCGTAACGGGTCACCGCCCGGCCAAGAGCAGGCTAGGGTGGGGTGAAGCAGGGTTCATGCTCCCGGGGTGGGGGTAGGGCCCCGGGGTTAGGCTGCGGAGGGGCTGGGCGGAGCTTGGGTTGGGGGAACGAGGGCGTCCAGGCGGCGGGTTGCTGGCGGGGCTGCGGGAGGCGGGCTAGAGCCTGGGTGAGAGGAATAATGGAGGGCGAGACCTTGAGGGGCACCCCCGATCTCAAATCTCCTGCTTTCTACTTTCGCCGCCATTTCTCAAGCCCCACCCCAAGTTCCAGTCCCAGCCTCGCGGGACCCGCCCAACTTTGTCAGCCTGCGAGGGTCCCCTTTTCCGCAGAAGTCCGGCCGTGCCCCCGCGGAGCCGCGGACAGCCCGCCCCGCACCTCACCTGCGAGGGCCGAGGTGAAGCAAAAGGCGTCGTAGCGGTCGCGCTTGCGGTCTCGGGGCCCGTAGCTTCGGATCCCAGGCCGACCGTGGCCACCGCACGGAGCGCGCGCGGTCAGCACTGGGTAGCGCACCGAGCCCTCAAGCAGCCAGCCCGCGTTGCACCAGTCCAGACCCTCGGTCCATGCTGACAGCAGATGCAGGAGCGAGAGGGAAAGGTCAGGGATTTGGGGCGTCGAAGACTGGTGTCAGACTCGGAGTTCTCCCCCGCTGGGCCCATGTGACCACCCAGAGGAGGCCAGGGCGGCCAGGGCGTCCGGCGCTCACCCTGGTACAGCTGGGCATAGGTGGCCAAGCGTCCGTCTTGCTCCTCGCACGCCTGCTTCGCCTCGTAGTAATTGAACTGGTACCGGCCTCGGCTAGGCTGGTACGGGAACACCACACCTGGGGGTGGCGGACAGCCTGGGGAGGGCCGGCAGACGGGAGGGGGTGGGGGAGGAAGGCGGCGCACCTAGGAGAGAGGGCTGGGGGAACCCTGGGAGCCGGCAGGGGGAGGCTAGGGGAGGAGTCCTGGGAGACCCGAGAGGAGGCGACCAACCTTCCCCGGGAGAGGAGAGGGGTGGTAACCCAAGGGCCTCACCCTCCAGGCGCAGGGTCAGCGCCACGCTCTCATCCTCGATGCCGTTAATGAGCTCACAGCGGTATCTGCCCTCGTCCTCCAGGCGAACATCCGCGATGATCAGGGAGGCATCTAGCCGGTGCCCCTTCCGCAACCTGGCGCGTCCCCCCAGGTGGCCGTAACCCCGGGCGTGCAGTCCATTGGTGATGAGGATAAGAGTTTCTCGGAGCTCCCCTGGCTCTACTTTGCTCCAACGGACCTTGTAGCTGGGAGGTGGGACGCCCAGGACGCAGGGTAGCGTGACGGTGGCTCCACGATGAGAGTGGATGACCTCGTGGATGGGGGTCAGAAGGTAGTGGGGGCCAGGGTGGGATGCTGAGCAGAAGGGATCGCAGTGGCAGGAACGCCTTCCCTCCTTTATCCTAGTTCCCATCCAGACTGTTCCACAGGCTCCCCCAGCCCTCTCCTCCCTGGCCCACTCCCCCACCGCTCCCTGGTACCTCCAACAGCAGCCCTTTGCGCTCTCCCCAGCCTGGAGTCTGCTACCCAGATTCTGGGTGGGACTAAGGTCTTACCTGAGTCCCCAAGAGCTTTGTGGAAGAGGAAGACCCAAGGGAGAAGGAAATGGCAGAGTGTAGAGAGACTAGGTCCACCTGGCATGATGGGAGGTCAGGCTGACACTGTCTGCAGGGCACAAGGTGGGCATTCCTTAGGACAAAGGGGACAGGGAACAAGACAGTGGGAAAGGAGCAGGTTTGGACATGAACACCCATCTGGGATTCCTCAGAGGGGACTGTCTAGCTGGAAGCTGTGGGGACAGACAAAGGGACTAGCGTTGGTGGCCAAAGGAAGGTAGGAAGAGAGCAGCTATAACACCCTGTCTTGGGCCCATCCTTCCTCTCTCACATCCCTTCAGTAGGCAGGTCCTCATGAAGCATCTCCTCTCCTATCCCCTTCTCATCACAGTGCTACTTCTAAGTGTTGCCATCCTGAGTGCCAGATGCAGTCTTGGTTCTCTCTTAATGCCCATTCTTCATCTGAAGCCAGAATAAATACATCTTGTAGCTCTCCTGCTTAAAACAGTGACTCCCCATTGGCCTGAGGATAAAGGCTTCCACAGCTCTCGGTAACCCAGCCTCTCCTGCCCTTCTGATGCCACACCCCCCATCCTAGCTACCTGTGCCCCAGACATGTTGGACTTCAGGTTTCTCATCTCCTTTTGGTGGGCATCAGTTTGGACCGCACCTCCTCTTCCCCATCCTGCCCACACTGCAGGACACTGTGAGCTACTGAATAATGTGGTTCCCAGTTTACTGGACTGGGCACCATTTTCCTTAGAAGTACTTTTATTCACAGCTCAATTGACAATATGAATTTGAAAGTAACACAAGTGTCTACTTCAGTAGTTGATTCCCTCCCACCCCATTGCAACTATTCTTTATCACCTTGTCCATTTTTTTAAAAAATTTATTTATTTATGCATATAAGAACTGGGGTACAGGTCAAAGTTGTGGGGGCTAAGAGGATTCACCACAAAGAGTGGGGAACAGAACAGGTCAATCCACTGAAACATACTGCTGAGGGGAGCAGCGGGTGAGACAGGAGAGATCTGTCACACCATGTGGGTCACCTCCCTGGCCAGGGACCGAACCCATGCTGCACTAGCTGCGGATTCACAGGACTGTGCTTAACCCATTGTGCCACCAGGGAGGGTCCACCTTGTCCATTTTTTAAAAAATTAGATGAAAAATCCCATACCCTAATTTTATTCAATTAAGAAAGTCTGATTTTTTCTACTTCCTAATTGCATGACTTTGAACAAGTTACTGAATCTCTCGCCCTTGATGTCTTCATTAGTGAAAGGTGAATAATAATAACATACCCACCTCACTGAATAGTTGTGAGGACTGGATGAAATAATATATGTAAAATTCTTAAAATGGTGCATGATGATAGACATGCTAAATATTATCAGTAGCCCCCAGAGTAGTTTCTATCACATAGTAGATGTTAAATAAGCATGTATGTGTTAATGAATGAGCCACACGGAGGACTTCTAAGAAGGAGAGCTGGGACATGGGGAGAGGAAGGAAACAGTGAGTTGTCAGAAAGGGAAGGAGCTGAGCTCCATCTTCCTGCAAATGGACAGAGGAATAGTGGGTGGAAGAAAGGACTTCCATGGTCAAAAGTAAAGATGTCTGGGATAGGGACCTGAAAGGGAGGTGTAAAGGTGATAGGCACCTGTAAAGGAGGCCCGGTGAGCAGAGTGTAGTGGGAAATGAGAGGGATTGAAGAGCCAAGAGTAACGAGAGCTAGCACTGACATGTTTTATCCCTCAGCACTCCTGTGAGGTAGGAACAAGTATGAATCCCATCTTAGAGATACTAAACAAAGGCACACACATGTATTAGGAACCTCCAGGTCACACTGTTGGAATTTGAGTCTGGCTTTCACAGTGAATCTAAAGCTCTTAATCATGGAGCCATTTTTCTGTATTACACATATCTTTTTCATACCCCTTTCAGAGAATGACAAGCTGGTCAACAGCTCAGTGCCTACCTGTTAGAAGCTTGTTTCTTCACAGAGATGGAGGAGGCAGTGATTGACAGCTTTTTATTCTGCTTCTTGCTGGAAGAAGATGGGCCAGGTGAGGGAGCTGCCTAGGTCCCTAGAAGGTCCAAGCACCTTAGGACCCTGCGACGTGGACCTCTGGCGGGTGCCCCTGTGCACCTGTGAGGAAAGGCTCTTCGCTGAGCTCACAGAAGCAGACAAGGTGCCAGAAATCTTCCCCTCCCCCCATTACTCTACTAAGCCCAAGGAAAAGCGCAGGGTTTGGAATATTGGGGGTAACCCCCAAATAGGGTTGAAGCAAAGAAATAATTACCTGGAAGAAACAGAGAATGGGGTCCTTTGTTGCTTCTAGATGCTCTTGGACCAGAGAAAGGGAGTATTGATTGGTGGGGGTGAGGCTCTTGGACTTATGGGCATGGGGATGAACTACAAATGAGGCTCAAAGGTCCATGGCTGTCAAGCTCCAGCTGCCTCCATATGTTTGTAGGGGCCTCTTGTAAGCAATGCCCTGCCCCCCCCCAAAAAAAGAAAAGTCCTCACCTCTGCCCTCCGGTACCTGGGTACGCATAGCCTGTGGGAAGAGGTTCTCTAGGTGGGAACCAGACTTTCAGGACTTCCAGCTGCTTCCAGAAACCTAATCCTTCTGTCCTGCCCCCCTGCCTGTCTGTCTGTCCTTTGCTTCTATGTCCCCACCCCATCGGAAGCACAATTTCCCATTGTCTCTGGCTTCTCCCCTATTGTTGAATAACAGGGGCCCTTTCTTTATCCTGTGGGTAATGACAACAAAATGTCAACAGCTGGGGATGTGGGATGCAGGACCGGCTGGCACACACCACCGGAAAAAGGGCTTGGTGGGGGTGGGATCAAAACAGGAACTGACATCCCCAGGGAAGAGGATGGGGAGAGAGAGGATGGTTGGGGAGAAGGGTAAAGTGGGTTCCATGGCAATGCTCCAAGCTATCAGGCTCCTGAAAGATTGTAAGGGGGGGTGTTGTAGGGGGCCGCTGGCCTCCCCAGAGGCCAGAGTGAATGGTTGAAATTGCAATAGGAGAGATAGAAAGTGGCCAGCAAGGAGGATTTTTCTGTCCCTGGGAAGGAACATGGGAACTTTCGAGGATGGAAGACTTTGGAAAACTCTCAAAAGAGTCCATCTTATTTGTCCTACTAATTTTAAGTTCTCAAGAGAAGAGAGCGCCTTAACTTTCTTGGGTAGAAATTCTTTCCACTAAAGACTTTCATTAGGGAGCTCTTTCTGCTGAGGCTTATATGCATTTTTTTAAAAAGATTTATTTATTCATACAGAACTGGGGTACAGGCCAGAGATGCGGAGGGTAAGAGGATTCACCAGAGACAGAGTGGGGAGCAGAACAGGCAGATCGACGAAGTCCACTGCTGAGGGGAGCAGCGGGCGGGCCAGGAGAGGTCTGCCGTGCCATGTGGATCTCCTCAAGGGCAGGCGGGGATCGGATTGAACTCATGCGGAAGTGGCTTAAGCTTCTTTGTGCTGTGCTTTAACCCACTGTGCCACCATGGAGGGCCTTATATACATTTTTAAAAACTGTCTTTTTGAGGTATAATTTACCTACAACAAAGTGGCTGGAATTGTATCGCTCTTTAGAGGATAGCACAGTGCATTTTTACATTTGTACCCTGTGAAACTAATACTCCTCTAGATCAGGGTCTAGAACATTCCTTATCCCCTGAGTAAGCCCAGTTCTGCTTTCTTCCTTTTCTTTTCTGGCTATAATGCAGGGGGGGAACTTGTCTTCTGAAGGCCATTTAGAAGTGTGTAGAGGGCCCTCCCTGGGGGTTAAAGCTCAGCACTATGAAGCTCTCCAAAGCCCCGCCAGCAGGAGTTGGGCCCCTGCCCAGGGAGCTGGCCCACAAGGCCCAGCAGGCCTTTCCTTTTGTGCCCGGTGCTCCCCTCAGCAGTGTATTGCAGTAGATCTGACTGTTCTGCTCTCCATCATGTCTATGGTGATCCTCTCACCACCCCTTCACCTCTGGCCTGTACCCCAGTTCTGTATGCATAAGTAAATAAATCTTTAAAAAAAAGAGAAATGTTTAGAGCTTTTTATCATGTCTTTGCCTTCTTTCTGCTGAGCAACCCCACATCACTGGTGGGGTCAGGGGACCTCAGCATGCTTAGCTTCTTCACTCAACAGCCAGAGAGGAGAGTGATTTTTCTAAGACCGAAGAGCCTGCAGTTGCTGAATTAAGCCTGTACCAGGGGGCTTTTCTTCTAGCCCTGCTCCCACTGCAGTCCCCAGGTCTCCAGGTCAGCCAGCTGCAGGGCTACCCCAGGGGGTGGGCAGTATCTAAAAAGGGGGTCCCCTCAAAAAATAACAGGGATCCCACTGGCCTGTACCCTTTAAGGATATGACCGCTTGTCTTTTTCCTGTTCACTTCATTCCTGTTGTAAGCCTCTCCCTCCTCCCTTAGAGAGGGACAAAGGAGAGAGGACAAACAGCCGCCTGTCTCCCAGCCAGGACACCCTGATCCAGCGCATCTGATTGGCTCTCACCCAACTCACACAAACAGCCTCTAGGGGGGCAGGCGCCATAGGGGCAAGGGGGTGCTACAAAGGCCCACAAGGACATCAGGCCACCTTCCCAGGCTCCTCACTCATCTTTCTCACTTGTAAACTATGACCTGTCTCTGGCGTGTAAATCCACAAAAGGCTGCGTTTGGCAGGGAGGAAAGCCTACAAGATTTGATAGATGCAAAAAGAACATTTGTGGATAGAATGCAAAAGAAGCCAGCCAGGGATAAAGCTACCCTGGCGAATATCCAGATGTGCCCAACATCGCCTCCATACAGGGGCTAGGAATAGGGTCAGGATTACCCAGCCTTCACTCCCCATTTTTTCAAAAACTGCCATCTTTCAGGATTGGCCAATGCCACTCCTAATACCTACTGACCAGAGAGGAGGTGGAATGCTTGAGAACAAGCATGGAGCCGACCGACACCTCTTTCTCTAACACCCTGGACTTAGCTCCCACCCTCCAAACAGTGCAGCTGAACAGTTTTCTTGACCCCCAAGATAGTAAGTGTGTTCCCTCTTGACTACTGGGATTGTCGCATAAAGCTCTGGAATTGTTGGCAGAAACAGAACTTTAGGGGAAAATAGCAGGAAGAGGCTAAGTTTGAGGGCAGCACTTCCCTCCACTTCCAGTAAAACTGAGGCTCACATGCAGCTACTTCTCAGCTGCCCAGAGCTCTCTGCAGACACTCCTCGATGCTGCCTCCTACTCTTTTCCTTCTGCCTGGGGGGCCGTAGGCCACTCTCTCTTCCTGGTCAAGGACTCAGGCCTCTGGGGGCTAGGATCCTGGCTGAGCTGCAAAATTGTGGGGGGGGGGGGGGGGATGGGGGGGTGAGCCTGGGGGCATCAGCCTTGAGGAAAGACACATTTTCCACTTAGGAGGCGTCATTATATCCTGAATGGCTTTTGTGGATAAAGTCTAGAGTGGGAAGGAAGGGAGAGCTGGGACCCGGGCTGGGGGCGGCGGGAGCTACCAATCCGGAGGGGTACAAGGGCATGTGGGCCGTGGGAGGAACACTGGACCAGGAATCAGGACTCTTGTTTCAGCCAGATGCTGTTGTCGAAAGAGACTGTGTACCAACTCCTGGAGCCTCAGGCTTTCTGGTTCTCAAAGGACCTTCACATCTGCCAGCAGGACTGGCTGCTGGAGTTGGAGCAGCATTCTAGCACAGGGGGGAAACAGGCTCTGGATTCATCTCTGAGGGTGCTTGGTTCAAGCTGGGAAAAGATAGGAGGGGAGGAGATAGGTGGAAAAGAAGAGAGTGCTGTTAGACCTGGGCATCCTTTCCCAGCCACCGCCCAGAGCTGGTGGAGTCTCCTCTAACTGAAGCAGGAAGCTCCCAGGTCTGCTTAGGTTCTGCTACTTCCCCAGGCCTCTGCTTGGGGGAGTCTGCTGCTTGGATCCTGCTGCTGCTGGAGCAGAATATTCCCACAGTATGGTGCTGGCCTACAGTAGTAGCTCTGGCTACCTTGACCCCCTTCCCAAACAGTAAAGATGCTTATGCTCTAATGGATGGGATGACAAGATTCCTCATACAACCTGTATAAAACCTCACCACTCCTGTAATTCAGGGCTCAGCCTTTTGGGACTGATCCCACTGAGCCTGCCCGTGTGACAAGTAAATCTCTCTCTCCACCTCTCTGAGCACCGTCTGATTTCTCTGGGAAATTGCCGTAACATAACCAGTGAGGGCAACTGGCAGGTGACCCCATATTGGGTGTCCCTGAAAGTCTGGGGCCAACATGGAGAAGAAGGAACAGGGGGAGAGGAGAAGGAGAGAGGGAGGAGCCCAGAAGCCCCAGAGAGAGCTCTGTCCCCTGCCCATCTCTCAGCCCCTTTACTTGATGTCTCAAGAAGTGACCTGGAGTGCCAGGTGCCACCATAGCATGCCTTAACCCAGCAGCCAGGACTGAAGATGGTCAGAGGAGGTGGTGGTTGACTCTGCAGGCATCTTCTTCCTAGCTCTGAAAAGTCTTGCAGGAAGGGCGTGGGGTCTCCCGCTGCCTCATCCCAACCTGGCCACAGTTCAGGCCCATCGCTCATCTTTGTTCTGAAGTTGTGGGGCAGGCTCCTGCTTTTCCTGGAACCCTTTTCTGCAGGCCCTGTGCAGAGAGCTGAGTGAGAGACAGGCCTGGATGACCCTGTGAAGTCATCAGTCTACTGGGATAATACCCATCCCGCCTACCTCAGAGGGAGACGTGGATGAAGAACAATGATGGAAAGTGCAGAGCACAGAAAAAGACAAATGACTAGGAACTATGTTCACACTTACTACAATCTGACCATTGTATTTGACCTAATCGATAACCGTGTCACCTATCATTCTGTTTGTGACAGGCAGTTTCTTGCTATATTCAAGAGGATCATTTAAACTGTAATTTTTAAAAAGATTTATTATTTATTTATAGACACAAGAACTGGGGTGTAGGCCAGACGTGCAAGAAGGGGAGTGAGAGGATTCACCAGAGACAGTGTGGGGAGCAGTGGGGGAGACAGGAGAGGTCTGCTGTGCATGTGGGTCACCTCACCGACTGCAGTAGCTGGCAATAGCTTGATAGTGCTGTGTCTTTAACCCCTGCGCCATCAGGGAGACCCCTAAACTGTTTTTTTTTAAGATGTATTTATTTATTCAAACAGAACTGGGGTACAGGCCAGAGATGGGGAAGGTGAGAGGATTCACCAGAGACAGAGTGGGGAGCAGAACAGGCAGATCGAGGAAGTACACTGCTGAGGGGAGCAGTGGGCCGGTCAGGAGAGGTCTGCCACACCATGTGGATCTCCCCCAGGGCAGGCGGGGGTCGAACTCATGCTGA